TCCTTGCTATCCCAAGTACCTTTCGAGTTTCTTGAGTTTCGACCAAACCTAGTTTATGGATTTCCATGTTCATATCACCAAATAAACCAAAATCACCATGGCTGTAATTGAAGCTTTTTTTTTTTTTCCATTTTATTCAACTTTGTTCTCTTTCCTTTTTGTTTTCTGTGCGGGAAGAGTTTATGTGAGAGGAAGAAGAAAATGAAGAAGTCTTATGAGGTATTATTTTAAAAATTATGTAACGCCCAAATAATTTTAAATTATTATTATTATTATTATTAATTTTATTTTTATTTATTTTATTTTATTTTGTTTATTTTAATTTAATATAATATAATAATAAAAATAATAATAATTGTAAAATTAGGTAAAAATATTATTTGGATTTAATTGAAATTGATTTTGGAAAAAAGGGGTGAAAATTAGGATTCTGGGGGTATTTTTGAAAAGAAAATCGGAAACCGGGGGTCAAAACGCAATTTAGAAAAATTGTGCCCCGTCAGCGCCACGTCAGCAGCCCAGTCAGCAACCCTGGCCAACCAGGACCTGCCGCGTGGCAAGACCACGTCGACTGGGAAACGGGCCACGTGGGCGATCCGCGTGCGCGCGATTGGACGGCCCAGATGCGTCCCCGCACGCACGGACGACCTAGATCAAGCGTGCGCACGGACGGCCCAGATGCAATCGCACGGACAGCCCAGATGCACGCGTACGGACGGCCCTGATTTAATCAAAACGGACTGCTGTGATCAAAAGGCAAAAGGGTATAAATAGAACCCCCACACCTGACCACAAAAACCCTAGCCGCCTGCCCTCGCCGGAGAAGACGAACCAGACACCGGAGGAGCCGGCCGTCGCCACCCGTCGCCGCACCGGGGAGTTTTCCTACCGCCGATCAAGGTAAATTTCATACACCCGGCTCGTTTTTCCACGCTGAGTTCCCCTGTGGCCAAATTGGAGCCAAAATCCCGGCCAAACGGCCGGAAAACACGGCCGAAACCCAGCGGCGCCACCGCGCCCCTCCTCAGTTTTTGCCTCCGATGAGGCCCTTCCCGGCCTCCGTTTGATACAATTTTTATATCACCGTGATCACCATTCTTTTCTCTACAGGTTTATCGGAGCCGAATCACCAAAACACGAACCTCGCCGGAGAGCCGCCGCACCCGAGAGCACCGCCGCCGGTAAGCTTCAGTTTTTCATAATTTTTTGGCCCCCCGAGGGCGCTAGGGTTGTTTTATAGCAGGGACCGATGCAAGTGTGGCCGAATTCGGTCGTCGCCGGAGCAAGGCGGAGCCGCCGTGCCGGAATTGTGATATTAGCCGAAAGGGGCCTTGGGTCTAATTTGGGATTTTTTGGGACATGTGCAGGTACTAGTAGTGCGTTTCAGTTCCCCGGAAAAAATTCAGAAAAAATTAGGGACAGCCTGTAGGCGCACTGTGGAGCCGTGTTCGGACCCCGAAACAAGTAAGGACCCCTCACCCTATTTCCTATCACGGTATTAAAGTTTAATAAATAATAAAACGGTGTTTCATGAATCAGTAGATGTGTGAAATTGTTTAAGGTCGCTAATGGAGCCCGAGTCTGGTGTATTTGTCGGTCAGTGTTTGTTTGTTCTATTTTACAGCTTTAAATGCAGTATGATGCATGATGTTCTCATTTCATAGTTTCGTGTGCATAAATCACTGTTTTATTGATTATGGGTTGAATGACTGAGAACCCGATGTTGTATGTTGGCTTGTTTGGCATGAA